TTCTAAGCTAATTGGTATTACTTTGTAGTCTGTGATATTCTGTTCCATTTTGTGTACATCCGTACATCTCTTGACTTCCTGTACTCCTTCTCTCAATGTATCATTTGTTCTTACATCGCTTATAGTGTTGATCTTCATTTTCTTTTTTCTTTGCTCTAGTTTGCCTTGTATGTTTATATTTGTTTTGTTCAATCGTGAGACTTCTTCGTTGTAGTGTATTTTGGGTTAATTATATATATTAGCGCACTTTCAATTAGTGTTAGTCAACAGCCTTTTTTCGTTTTTGCTTCTAGTTAACTACTCTTTTTATTTGTTATTTAATTCAAAAATCCTATGTGTGGGCTTTTTTGCTCGTATATCAGGTATATACGTTTGTGCATGCAATTCAGCGTAACAAATTTAGTCCTTAGTTTTCCGATTTAGTAATAATATCGATGCATAGAAATCATCTCTCTGGGTGCGTATTTACCTCGAGAGTTATGAGTATAATACATAAAAAACAATGAAAATCAGTTTAACAGATCTTTGTTATGATGCTTAGTATAAAAATAATCCTGTGTACATCTATGAGTTGGCGTTTGATTCTTCTGTGAGTTGACCTGCTTTCGCGTTTTTCCATCGTTTTCTTCTTTTGAGTGATATACCTTGTGTCCCATCTGTGGCTGCTGTCTGAGCTCGGCGTACTGTGTTTGCATTTTGTCCGTATTCCCTTGGCTTTAGTAATTTGTAGTTGCCTCGAGTATTCTGGTTATTTTGTCTACTGGCCTGATTTAAAATTTTTTCTCTTTTTGCCGTACTGATCTAGTAGCAGTGTTAATAAATTTTCTGATTATTTCTCCCTCTCTTTCTCCGCTTTTCTAGATTTTTTTCAGTTGTTGCGGTTGGACCACTCAATTGAGCGTCCGGCACTTTTGATACTTTTTTTCCACTTTGCGATGAGCTAAATTTTTTTGATTACGTTGAATAATAGGAAGGATAATTTTTTTTTCTTTTTTGTTTTGCAAGACTAACTGATTTTCGCGCACGAGACAGACCGTACAAAATTTTTTCAGCTTTGCACTTTGGACTACAGCTGTTATGTGGGTTTTTCACTGTGGGAATAAATAAAAGCGCGACTTGTGGTTGACTTATTCTTTATTAGGACTCCTTGTATTTGTGGAAAATTGCACGTATGTTCTAGTCTTACCAGTCTGGTCCTTTTACTCTTCAGTCTCTAGCTAATCCCATATTTACTCTTTTGCTTTGCATTTCTTTCCTATCACTTTTTTTCTCCATTTCCTCACCCTTTTTGGCCAAGGCTAGTGGGGGCGCACGCACGCATACACGGAGAAAAATCTAAGCAATCAAAGCAAGAGAACTTATACTGCTTTAGTGTGACTCTTAAGTGATTCATAAAATGCTTGGATTTCCGATATATACTACATCAGATGTTACAATATAAATATCACATGGTCTGATAGCTGACATACTATGACTTACATAGGTGTAGCGCGTAGAGCTCATGCGCAAAGTGTATGGTGTGCACTCGTACTGATTTAGAGTGAGTTCCATATGTATAATCTATACATGCCGTCATGTGTCGCACTATTTACGTGCAGCAGTGCAATATATATGGTATATAGATTCCGGTCCAGTTCCGATATGATAGAACTGTTACGAGCGGCCTGTTGGGGTGGGCGGCCTTGAACTAAGAGGAAACGTTAGTATTGACCAGTGCAATGTTCCAACGCGTAAATATGTTCTTTTAAGCCAAATAACGATGGGGGTATTGTCCTTGAAGCCGTAAAAGTGGTAGATAGGATACACTGACCCGGGGTCAATTGCCATCAAGAGAGAGATGCAGACAATATAATTATTTGTATGATCTAGGCGATCTCATTAGGTCGTCGCGCAGCTCTTATGTACTCTTAGCTCTTTTCTTACTTGTGATGTTAAGTTGCCACCTTGTGATCAGTAAGTAGTACTACTAATCGTAAAGTTGGAAGTCAAAGTTGCACCTGAGATTTGAAAATTTAAATTTATGTAAAACGATTAAATTTAAAGAAAATTGTTTATTTTAATAAAAAATAATTAATAAAACAATACCCAAGATGGTAACAAAACAAACACAGTTGTTGTACTCAAGCAGATAAAAAACGTCGATTATGAGCTGCTTATTATAACAGGGTGCTGGAGGGGGGGGGATATTTAATGGAATACAGAAAAAAGCACTTTTTCCACTAATTAATACGTAAGCACCCCAAAAATTTGTGACTACATCCCAAAATAAAACTATTCTATCAATAATCTCACCTACAACCGAAAGATTTATTTTAATAACAGTTTATTACTTCACCATTTAGGCTACAGCATGTGGAATGAAATGGTTTATGCTTAGAGACTAGAAAGACGTCGTATACTGCCAAAAAGTCTTTTTTATTTTGTCAAATGTAAATGTTTCTTTGTCAACATGAAATTTATTGCACATGTTATGATAAGCTGACAAAGTATATGACAGTTGAAAATAAAACTATTATGTGAGGTTAGAGAAATTAATACTTTTTCAATGTGAAACAGTACTTTTAATATTCATACTAATTTGTATTACGTGAATGGACTAATATTAATTTTCGATATTACTGGATTCTACAATAAAAAAAAAAAAAAAACTTAAAGCAGAATAGTATTACAGTAAAATGAATTAACAATTTTAAAACATACAAAAATTAGTCATAATAGCAGTGTTAATAATATACTCAAGACACACAAAAATGTCACTTGTTTTATACTTACATTTTGCAATTGTTTAAATGATATCAGCTGCCTTAGAATCAAGTTTTCTAAAATCCTTTACGTTATAATAAGAAAAAAGTTGAGGTTAACGAATAGAGTGTTGTATAAATAAGTGGAATGATTTTTTAGTACAGAGGTACACCATTTAATGAGGTTTAAGTAGAGTTAGAATATATTTTAAAAACTAAATTATTATGTTTGTCAAATGGCTAGCTGTTCAATACTTCAAAACAAAATTGAACTAAGTAATCTAATTATTGTTTTTTGTGTTACTGTCTACAGTTAAATTACGATTTAGAATAACACTTACGTTTATTGACACTGGTTTTTTTGCAATAATTTTCATGCAGTTGAGTTTTTAAATCCATACGATGAAAGCATCTCTCATTAAAAAAATTGGAGTGTCATTTAGAGAATTCTTATTTATTTTTTCGGTTTAGTGAGGCAGTAAGAATTTAATTTTTGAGCAATTAAAACATAACTATTGAACGAAGAACGTTCAATTCTGGTGCTTACTTAGAAGACGTTTCAGTGGTATCCTGCACCACGGGCAACAAGCTACAAGATGTGATGCACGCAATAATGATAATGGTGCTGATTACGAAATACAAAAGGAAAGACTAAAAATTTAAATCATAGATAATGCTTGCATGTACAGATAAAGGACCTAACTGCATAAACGAAAAAGCATTATTACCAATTAAAAGTAGTGCCACGTTGTTATTTCCAGCAACTATCTAGGCAGACTTAGCTGTTGTTAGGTGTACATATATCCACTGTAAAGTTAAGAGAGACTAACAGTTTGAGTTGCAGAAGCTTTGTCTGTCTTTTAGAAAAGTTTTCAAGTATACTTGTCATTTAAGTGGAACTCGAGAAATCTTCATAAGTCTAACACGCATAGATGGCTTCTAGTTTTATTTAATGAGAACTTGAAAAATTTGTTTACAATATCATATTCATTGAAAGAAGTATTTTCCTGCATACAAATAACGCTAGGTGCAATTGTATGAGTTGAGTACGAGAATATTTAAGACAGTTACTCAACTGTAACTAGTTACTATTTAAAACTCTACGTGTAAAATGTAGGTGTATGGCAGTTTGTATTTGACAGCGTAAGATAGTCATTTTTTAAAACATTCATATTTGTTTTATTATGACGCTTTTTAGAGGACTGTATGATTTGGGGGGGGGGGGATCAGACTTGTAAGGACCAACTCAATCTGAAGGTTTCTCACACGTTTAATAAATGAAAAAAACACTTGGTTAAGTAAATTATATTTATTTAATGTAAAGCACTGACTTGATAACAAAATTTTTTACAATTGTCTTAAAGTGTTACTGCAATTGTCAAATAAGATTTTAGCTTAAAAAACGATAATTTCAAATCTAATTGATTTCTTATAAGAGCTCTCTCAACTCACTTTTACACTTAGTGCTTGGCGATAACTCATTTTGCTCGTTATAATCACAGTTATTCTTATTTTCTCGGTGGTTGCACGAGAATAAATTACAGCAAAAAATAATGAACTTCTTAGGCTAACAGCATAAGTAATTTCATTTAGTTTCCAATTTTTATTTCGATGTTTACTTTCGCTTCTTCAACTTAAAATTACTAATAATTGTATGAGCACTTTCCTAACCTTAAACACAGATGTTGTTTCAACTAGGTTAAAGCTAATAACAATCCAGCACTTTGATCCTTAAAAACAAATTTTTATGGACCTGGGGTTGACTTAATCGTTAATCATCAGAGTTGGTTGCTGCGCGAAACGATAAAAGAAAAAATGGCAATTTCTTATACGCCATAGTAAGACACTGAACTTGGGAGGCAAGGCCTCTTCTAGTTAGTCTAACTGTAACGTAAAGCTACAGAGCCTGTTATCATCATCCACTTCAAGATGCACCCAAATGTAAAGCTACCGAGCCTGCGATCAGCATCTACTCCAAGATGACTGAAAATCGCTATGCACAACAATTTAATATTCTTATTACAGTCACTTCTTGTATCAACCGAGAGGAATGGCGCTAGTGCAACAAAATTACACTTTTAACGGATGAATGCCATCTTTTTACCATTTTATTTGTTTATTATTTTCTTTCAATTACTTTTTTTCCAATAGTAACAATTCTCCATTTTTAATTTATCTATAAAAATTTTTTTCTAATCATTTTTATCACATGTTATCTCTTGACTATCACCTATTACCTTATTTTGAACTAATTTTCAGGTGTGGTTTCAAAACAGAAGAGCAAAATATAGAAAGCAAGAAAAACAACTGCAAAAAGCCCTTGCTCCAATCCCTACATGCCAAGGTGCTATAATGAGAAATATTTATCCTGGTACACCAAGAACGTATCAACCTTATCCTCATGCTCACAATAGCATTAATGGAATTAATCGCTACCCACAGGTAAAGTAAAACTTGATTTCCAATTTTTTTTCTTCATCGATAAGTAACCCGTAGGCTGAATGTACACAAGATCGTCCAATAATTATTTGGTAGCAAGTCTACATTGTTCTTATGTATGTGAAAAACTATTTAACTCTAAAAATGTACTTGCACATGACTTTAAGTGACCGTTGATACACATTAAAAATTTTCTATTCTTAACAATATTTTTCTGTTCTATAATTGAACGTTTTTTAATTTCTAGGTTCTTTTTATCTTATCTTTACCTCTACTACCAAAACGGTTTTTTACACGATTCCCTTTCTTTCTCAAATGTACTTAGATACAGAATATGATGAATGAAAAAGAGTCATATAGTTGATACGCTATTCTCAATAAGTTCTACAAGTAATGTGGTTATCTTTTCAAAATTCTTTCCAGACTGCGTTTTATTTAAGAATCAATACCATTTTAGATGAAGCTGTCATTAGCTGTGTTCACAAGAGGCTCGGTTAGTTAAGTCAGTTAAGGTTACGTAAATATTGACCATAAGTAAGTAGGAGATGGTGACATCATTTAGTCTCTCTCGCAACCATGATAAATGATCACATGACCGTGAGTAAGCTAACTAATCAAGTCTTTTGCCAAGCAGCCATTGTATTAAAAAATTTCTTAAGTAAGGCTTTTTAAACCCTTAAAAGACTGACCTGTTGTTAGACTACGTATAGTGCTGCGTATACTGGAAGTTTAAGAATCTATGTATATGCAGCCTAAAGCATAAGTTAGATTACCAACTGTAGAGTAACTATAATTCTCTCTTTTTCCTCATTGAGAGTTCTAGTTCTGTGGGAGATTTGTTAATCATCAAATAATCTACTGTCATCAATACAAAACGACCAGTTGAACTTTAGTTCTGTCACTTTCTCATTTAGCCCCGTTTGCGTGAGCTAGAAATGAATCTTTAACTTAACACTACTATTAGCTACGTTTTACGGTGGTAATTTTATTCTTTATAGTCTATCAACAATAACTCATGATTGCAGGTCTGACATATGTACAGCTCTTGCTAATACTTTATTTACCCTCTACATATAAGCAGAAGACTGATATTAGTTTTGTCAGCTGTTACTATCTTATTTGAGTGGAGAAGTCTAAAATAACGTTCTTAAGCGCAGCAAATAAGAGCTATGATGGAGCTTTACCTAATTAAATATCTTATATACAGCTAGATAGTTAATTAAGGAGTGACAAACATACTGAAAACAAGTGGTTTTCTTTGCGATATGATTCTTTATAAGGTTGGTTTCTGGCATTGCAAATTACAGTTCTAGTGTATTCAAAAAAAACGAAAAAAATGTAAGTTACGTAGTGTGTTTCTTTAATTCTTTCAACATTGAGTTCTTAAGGACTGTTCTTTTTCAGTAATAAAAAGTCTTCTTAATAGCTACATAATAATAGGAAGTTTTGTTGTAACCATGTACGATAGGTTGAGTTGATTTGCTATTCAAATGAGATATTTTCTGTTTGTAATATCATAGAGATATATTGGTTCTTAGTGCTGAGTTTAATACTAAATATTAGTAGTTGTTGCAGCACTTTGGCCCACCATAACAAGCCCCCATTATCTATATAGAAGGTTTCTATAATGAGTAAAGACGAGGCATGCAGTGCGGGGAACGTACACCACTTTTGGTTTCTCCTTCCAACATTATTCGTGAAGAGACGGCTCCCCTACTTTTTAGTTACTAGAGAGGCTAAAATGTATCTCTCTCTCTCTCTCTCTCTCTCTCTCTCTCTCTCTCTCTCTTTCTCTTACTATAGGTATTCTTTTTATGATTTATAAGAATAGTTCTCTTCAATCTTAGAGAGAGTCCATAATTTGTAATGTTATTTTTTTATAACTCTAAAATAAGTTCGATTTTAAGGATGTGGTGAGAATTTAAGGTAAGTAACAACGAAGGTAAGTACGTTTATAAATTGATTTTAAAATTCAAAGTTCCTACCAGTACAGTTGTATGAAATGACGCAAATATGTATACAAAATCGCATACATGTTCTCTTGCTAAATATTCACACTTCATCGTATCTATAGACACGATTTTGTCATACACATTTTCTAAATCTGAATCATTTATATGTCTTACAATTTGCTTTTAAAATATCAGGTCTATCATAATCAATTTGCATTTCATGCACATAAGAACTTTTTTCTGAAATATAATCTACAAATTTCTGTACAACAGTAGGCATCAAATCTAACAAATCACTCTATACACGTAAATTACAATCAATGCAGTTAACAATAAATTTGCTTAAATGATCAAAGGTCACCTTTTTTGAAAATAAATTACGACAGTATTGCTTCGCGACACTACCACTCACACCTTGCTTTTGTCCTTCTTCAAACTCAATAGCCTTGTCATTGTAACTCATAGTAAACTTCAGGGACCAGTTGGAGCCATAAATTTTGATGTCCTGCAAGTTGCTGTCATCCGTCGTAAAATAATTCTCAATGTACGTCAAAGCCAATTTGAATTCGTTTCAGTTTAAGCTTTTAAAAGAAATAACTTCAAAATTTGTGTTTAATAGACGAACTACAGATTTCCAATCGTTGTCAACTAATTTTTCATACTCCATACTAACTGTCGTTTTTTTACCAAATGATTTATTCAACCCATAAAATTTGCAAAAATCTGTTTTGCATGTTTTGTTTCAAATCCATTTTTCTATTTAGTTGTATTGAGGGTATGATGATTAGTTAGAGACTAATGACTAACTGTTTTACACGAGTCATAGCTCAAAAGAGACCGGGTGAGAAACTTTTAAAGGTGACTAGTCACATTGTAGTATGAAAAATTTTATCAACAACACACCCAGGACAACGTTCACTAAAACAAGTAAGATCATGTATCGCACACGGGTGTAAACGCTGAGTGTGGAATTTTTTTAAGAACTATCAACATTCAGACGTACAGTTGCAAAACGCTGACATTGTTGATTCTTAGAATTAACAATACTGTAACATTAGTATCTGCCACTAGACGCTCAGGAATGCGCAGACTGCAAATTATACCCATATTCATGGATATACTTATATCAAAGACATTTTACTGCAACTATTTTGTAAACAATTCTACACGTTAGCGCCACCTAAGTATGACTTTTTAAAAGAAAAAAATTTTAATGTTTATGATACATTTGAGTTCTTTAGAACATGACTTTTATTGGAACTCAATAGAGTTTGGCGGTATGCGGACTAAATTATAGGCCCGATAGGTGTCCATAATGCGTGTCATCTTAGCATCTATATGGTATAATATTATTGTAGTTATAAATATTCATAAATAGAAAATTAATGTTTTACTTTTATCCAATTTTCTCTAAGTTTTATTTTGTTATAATTGTGGGTTCTTGATCCTGAAGAGGCTGTCAGTAAGATAGCCAAATACTAATCGATGTAAATAAATTATTAATAGATAGTCATGCTTCAAGCTACCAAAACTGAGTCTGAATATGATTTTTTGTCAACATTCCACCAGAAAACTACCCCCCCCCCCCGACACCGAGCTTCTCAAATTATTTTGGTACACCTCAATGATTTAAAACGTCCGTCAATTTAATCGTTCATTTTAAAATCAGTTGAAAAATTTTTTAAAACCCTAACCGTTGCTTATGTAAGATAAGAACATCAAACAAAACTGACTACTTACGTTTGAAGATTTCGTTTGTAACTGTTTGACATTCGAACGCATTTTCTTACAATTTTTGCAAAATCGATTAATGTGCTGTGGAACAAAAGGTTAAATACCATAGCTACTGAAATAAAAACAATTAAAATTTGCATCACCGTATATAACAAACCAATGCATACCTGATTTTGTATGATCATCAGTATTAAGGACTAGTGCTGTCGGTACCGTTCACATCCGTGGGATCTCATCGACTAGGAACTCACTGGTGGTATGCGCTGTGATTTGCAACAGGATTTGCAGTATCTGTAGGCTGTCCATTACGTTCGTGGAGCCAAGCTTTCAGTTTATAAACGTTATTTAAGGCACGCCAATATTTTTAATCATTTGGTTTTCATGCGTGATGCATACAATACACTTCTGATGACAAATTTTTTAAAGGTGGACAGTGAATTTCATATTCCAAATTTATTACTTGACAGACAGCTATTTTATATAAATCATACCACTTTTTGCAACCCCTGACATAAATTTTTCTTGGCACTTCTTCCAATATCGTTGAAAATTTTGATACCTAATTTCAAAGGTACACTTCCCCCTTATAGAAATTGAGTCCATGATAATGTCAGGACAGCCAAATGTTTGTTGTTGTGCCCCATTACTTAATTTTTGTACGCAATAAGAAGATGCCACTACCCTATGTGCAAAAAAATCATTGTTGATAGCAACGATATCAACTTATTTCAGCACTGTTACGTCTTTTGCCATTTTGAAATACTGAATGTGGGCTACGATGGCCATGGCGATTTATGGATGGTTGAGCGTCCCAATAAAAACTAAACCAATAGGCGATTATCGTGTCTGAGCAGTGAGTGTAAGTATATGTAGTTTGTGGCGCCATCTAGCCACTAAAGTCAACCATAATTCGACAGGACTCATCAATTTCAAAAATATTCTTGTACTTGACATACACTGTACAGTTTACAGTCGAAGTTATTGTGTCGGCAAATTGAACGTGTAATCTACCGTGTTTAATCAGGTTTTGATGGAAACATTCGTTGGCCGATTAATCTTGTGTTAAATCAAAAACAAAGGTACAGTAACCGTTAAGATAAGATTTGCAATCGACGTAATTTCCATCATTAAGAAAGTGAACACCAGTACCCGAAAATAAAGTGTGTCACAGTTAGAGAACGTTTACTTTGAGAATATTCAACGCGCACTTGCAAATATACTTAATTTACATCTTTTCAGCTTTGAGCAACAGCGTTTTTTGTCATTCAATGTCAAAATGATAAAGAGCTCTCAAAATAGCAGCGTATTTTTGACCAA